TTTTTAAGAGACCACTCTTTTCATGGTCACTGACTGCAATCTTATCTTCTATATCTGAGAGCCTATCTTCACATTCTTTTATTATGTTGCGTATATTTTCAACAGAGTGTTTAATCTCCTGGATATCTGTTTGAATCTGTTTTATGGATTCCATTTCTTTCCTATGTTGGGCGTTTATTTTTTCCATTTCTTTCTTATGCTGGGCCTTCATGGCTTCTATCATGGTCCTGAGCTCATCTATTTTTTTGTCAGTTTCTGCTCTAGAGTTGAATCACGACTTCCATTTTGCTCACCATCTCTATGGTTATCTGGGAAATTATTTCTGTTTTGAATTTTTCTAGAGCCTGATTGATCTGTTTTGTTACTTTCTGTGCTTTGAGTTCAGGGTGTCCTGGTGGTTCACTATCGGCCTTTTCATCCTCATTTGCCCTACTGTTTGCCATTGGTGAACTGGAAGTCTGTCCTCGTGTCTTGTTTAAGTGTTTTCTCATTGTAATTTTTGTTGTCGGACTGTCCTTGGTTTAATCTCTGGATTATCACCCAAATCTTCCTGATATAGTTGCACCCTAGCTTCTGTGTCTCTAATGACCCACGGACATTCTCATCTTCATAACATCAGAGAAAACAGCTCATCAAATCAACGGCAATGCTTTACCCCAACTGATACAATCAGCAACACATTAAGATCAAGCACAACTTGGACACTGACTACCTGTGGTAGTCACTAGTCTATCACCCTTAAATCATTTGAATTAAATTGAAATCAAGAAGCAGTCCAGAACATGTCTGCAGTGAACAAAATTTCAATATAGTGTATTTACCATTTAATGGCTCAGACAGAGCGAGGATGCAAGACCCCTGATCTCAGTTAGCTGATGGCTGAACCCCATGACGCTGACTGACCTCGGGCTGCAAGGCCCAGATTGAGTTCCCCAACCTTCTGAATGGTTGAACTCCGCAACGTTCTATTACAGGTTTCCCACGCCCTTTCTTTAAAGATGTTCATCAAGTTGGGAACTCAGAAAAATACCCTTGATGACCACCTCTGCCTCTGCAGAGTGGGTCCAAAGACTTGCACAGTCAGGAGGTCTGAGAGTGCAGGCGGGCGGGGGGTGGTTATGGGGGTTCAGGGGCGCCCGCGCAGCTGCCTTCCCAGCGCTTGAGCAATGGCTGCTGGGTCAGGAGCAGGCGTGGTTCTCCTTTCCGCGGTGGATCGGGCCGGCCTACCTCCCAGAGCTTGAGCGATGGCTGCTGGGTCGCGAGCAGGCATGGTTCTCCTTCCCGTGGTGGATCGGGGCGGCCTACCTCCCGGCACTTGTATGCTCCTCTAATATAATGTTCCTCTCTATTAAGCACTAAAATCATTTTTCATCACTCGAATCCGAACAGGATACTGTGATGCCTTGGCAGAAATGACAATGCATGACTTCTAGAGACAAGTGATAAAAAAAGGCTGCCAGCTGCCCCTGTTCCCACTCTTTCGGGATGCTTGCTCTGGGCACCCAGACACACTGTGAGGATGTGCAGACTACCAACATGGAGAGGCTCATATGCAGATGAAGTACGTCCATAACCACAAGGCAGCACCAACAGCCAAACACGTAAGTGTGCAACCTTCAGATGATTCACACTCTGAGCTCCTACTTGTTCCAATGAAGTCAAGAGGTCAGCAATGGGAGTGCAGAGTACGTACATTGTACGCATGAGTCCCTGGGTTTCATCAACAGTATATCAAAAGAAAAAATATCAGCACTGGATGCCATTCTAAGTCTAGACCAACAAAGTATACAAACAAAATAAACGACTGTCGAAGGGTAGGATGCAGTCACTCAACAAGAACAAAGACTGAAATTTCATGAGTCTATAAATCAAGCTTTGTCCTCATTTTAGAATTTAGTATAAATAAAGTCTCCTTAAATTTTAAGGTCACCTTAGACAGCTATGGTCCCCAGTGTGAGTTTCACATTCATTTATGCTTCCCTTTTAAGATATGGCAGGTACTTGACTCAGTAAGGGGAAAATGAATTGGCACAAATTTTTTACTAACGTTTACAGGTCTCTCTCATTTCTATTCCTTTCACAGTATAGAAAGAAGAAAGGAAAGATCTTTTTCCAGGTTTTTGTGAAAGTAACGTTTCTGGACCAAAATATTTCACTTCAACCTTTACCCTAATGTCATAATTAAAATGATTTCCTCTACCACCTGGTTGTCACAGAACTTCTGCCCTTCTATGTATTGTATAATTCTACTTATTTTTAACATAAGCTTTATTAAAATACAATGCATGTACTCTACAACCTGCCCCTAAAAGTATAAAATTCAATTAATCTATATACAGCCGTATATTCATTGCCACAATCAATTTACAATATTTCCATCACCCCAAAAACAAACTTTTTCCCCTGGCTTTGTTCCCTCTTTCAAGACTGCTTTTACTGTTCTTGGTCTAGAGTTTCCACATGAAGTTTAGGACCAGTTCAACCATTCTGCAAAGAAGCCAGGTAGGCCTTTTATGAGGACTGTATTGAACCTGTGAATCAGATTAGGGAATATCACCATCTTAACAATGTTAAGTCTTCCAATCTATTAAGACAGGATATCTTTAGGTCTTCCTTAATTTCTTTCAACAATGTTTTGTAGCATTTAGAATAACATACATAGGTTTTTCACTCTTCTCTTATTAAATATATTCCTACTTTCTTTTATTGGCTTGGTTTCTAAGTATATTACTCTCACCCTAAGTATTTTAAATTGGAACCATTAAGTATTAGTCAAAAACCAAACTGTTTAAAGGAAGAACACTAATAAATGTTCAAATGAATTTTTTTTTCTTGGTACCAGGGATCAATCTCAGGTCCTTGCACTTGCGAGGCAGGCGCCAGAACCACTGAGCTAAATACCTGGCCCTCAAATGAATTTAATAAATAACCTGCCATTAAATCACTACAGTTAATTTTAATGTCTAAACATTTATTCAGTATGAAATATTTTAATTGGAAATTCTGATAAAACGAATGAAAACAGCTAGAAAATAAGAGATCCATCCCCAATTAATAAACAAAATTTGCTAATGCGAGATCACATTGCAGGCTATTTATTAGGTCACGTTTGCTAGTGGAGGCGTAATTCTAAGAAAAGGCAGTGCACCTAGTTTATACACTCTCTTCAGCATCTTTCTTTGGTACAGTCAAGAGACATATTTGGGTACTACAAAAGATGAAACAGTAAATAGCACAAATGTAAAGCTAAACTAGTTTAGGAAAAAAAGAAACTCAGTTTGCCAGAGATCTCTACACTGGAG